CCGGTAAGTCGTTGTGCAGCCGGGACCCTGACCAGATATGCAGGTCACTTACATCTCCTCAATCAAGAATTAACTCCCCAATAGAGTAATGGACAACCGAAGCTCCTAGACTCAATTTCCCAAGATATAAATCAACTTTCCTCAGTGAAGTCCTCCTCAGCGGCAGGTACAGGAATTCTCACAAAGGAATCTTTTATACAACCGACATCTTTTCTGGATGGAATCTCTTAGCCCATCTCCGACAATACTCTGCCGACTTCCAAATGGCATCTGTAATTCCATTCCCGATATCACCAATCACCAGGCACTACATGCGAGTGCAAATTTCTGGGCACTCTAGTGTTCAATCATCTTCCACCTTCAGATCACAAAAGGAAGACCAAGTCAATCTACATCCTCAGGTTTAAGAAGATTGAACAGGGGCAGCTATTGTACCCCAAAATTTTCCCTTCCATTTTACTCAATATATGCTCATTAAGACCCTCAACTTTCTCAAGGATGCTCAAGAGTTGACCAGACAAACTCCCTCCTAAAGCAATGAACCACCAACTAGGGTTTCCATTTTCATCAAGAAGGGTGAGCTCCAAAGGCCTCATATGCTCTCCATAGTCCTAATATGTCCTCAAGACCCTCCATGTCAAATTCCAAGCTTTGCACAAGAAGTTTGCTCAGTCAACTGCTCAGATGCTTGAGAATCGACTGTATTAGGTCAAAAGTCAACTGTGGCCCACATACAGTCAAACTTCAAGATTTTTGGTCAACATCAACATTTTGAAGTGATATCCATCATTTGATCAAAGGTTGACCATGATTCCCCAAATAATGCTCCTAATTCATCAAAACTCAAAAGTTGCTAAATTAGGGTTTCTCAGGAAAAGTCAACCAAATTTTGGCCAAGCATAACTTTCTCATACTTTATCAAAAATTTCTCATCCAAGGCTCATTTTAAAGGGAATTTAATTTCCTGCAACTCATCTTCAGCCCTCAAGTTCAAAAAATGCACTCATAAAAAGATATGAATTTCTACATTATAGGTCCTTTTGAAAAGTCAATAAAAACACCTTTTGGGTCAAAGCTTCTTACATGAACATGGAAGACTCAATTGAGATGAGACCAAAAGGGTTGTGTAGGGGACAACCTAAGCTTTCTAAAAAGTCCAAGAAAACGTCTCTAGGTTTAAAATTGGAAGAGTTATGCATTGTCAAAGTTGACCATTTTTGGAAAATTGCCAAAAGTCAAATGTGCTCAAAAGTGCATTTTTTGTCAAATGGGCCTAGCATTTCAGGATTGTATCTTGCTAAGGACATGGTCCACGACCCAAATCATCAACCATATCTTATTGGACCTATTTATTTATTTTATTTTGATTACTATTTACTAAAAATCATATTAAATCAAATAAATAACAAAAAATATCAAAGGTTGTTTGATGATCTGATTTTGATGAAAATCAAATCTAATTGAGCTGGCCTAATCAAGCCAAATCGAATCAAGGCAAAAAGGCATGATTTGGTCAAGTTTGGAATGAAATAATATGGCTTAAAGATCAAAGATTTTATCCATCAACTCCCAAGATTGGATCCAAAATGGTTAACCTAATTAGACTCAATACATATACTGAGGTTTGTTTGAACCCTAGGAGGAGGAGAGAGAGGCGCAGCTGCTCAAAAGATACCCTGTACACAAGCTTGAATTTCAAGGAAAAGTGGTAATTGAATTTGGATTTTGAGGCAGATTCAAGAGGTTCTAAAGGTTACAACGCATTCTTGGAGACACACTGAGACTAACTGCATTATTTTCAAGTATCAAAACTCTCAGAATCACGACCAATCTGATCACGATTTGCATTTTCTTTTCAAAAACAATTACAATCATACATGCGTTATAAATACTTTTTGGTCATGCATTCTTGTTTGTATGGATGTTTAGATCATGTTTGAATGATTTAATTGATGTTTTGATGCATATACTGATGATTACCATGATTAGGGTTTAAGAAGCCATTTTGGGACTTCTCTATACAGATAAAATTGGGCTAAGAAAATGATGCCATGATACTCGTGAGATCAAGACGAGTTGATTGGTGCATTTAGAATTAGTTTATCAAGCGTTGTATGAATTTTTGGAGTTTGCAGGTTTATGGCTATGGAGCTTTGACCGTAGGTATAAATTTGATACCTAAGACGATGGACAGGGAAGAAGATGATGAGTTGTCACCTTCCCACTGGGCCATTTGAATAATCGCACGTTTTTCAGACCATCCACTTTATTTTATATATTATGATTTAATGTTATTATTATAACAACTAACCAACGCAGCGCTGATGGAAGGGGTAGAAACATGTGAAGCAAGGGACCTGGGTTCGATCCCAGGTCCAATTTTTTTCTTATTTTCTGACTATTTAAACGCAGATCTAGCGTGCCTCATGACTTAGCGCCTACCGTGTACCCCAGATCTCAGCCCTGAGATCCCTCATCAGACCAAATCTCACGTTCCAATGTTGAGGGACTACTATACATCATCAGAGGGGGGAAGCACATGATCTGGCGTAGGATTGGGCTCAGTATGCATTGGGCCTAACAAAAATCAGAAGCGCACCCCCCTGGGTTGCTTATGCAGGCCCAATTTCACCTTTTTTTATTTAAATTCTTATTCTTATTATTTATTAATTATGTCTTTTTTAAATAACTCAAAAAATCATGTTTTCTTTTATTTAACCAAAAACAAATCATAAAAAACATCAAAATCTTTTTTTTCACAAAAATATTTTTATTAATTAACCAGTTTAATTAAATTTAGGCATTATAATGTTTTTTTTATTATAATTCAAAATAATAAGAATTAAGGTTTAATTTTGTACTTAACCTAATTTTTCCTCAAAAACAACATAAATATTTTCTCAAATTAGATTTTTAGGTCGTCAAATTATTTCTCACATTTAATTTGTCGCGCGCTTTTAATTTTCCCTTTTTATTATTATTTGTAATTGCCCCGAGTTTGTAATAGATTTAAATAGGATTTTAATTCCGCATTTTATTTTCAGTCAAAAATAATTACGTATCTGCCCAAAGCCATGTAATAATTAGGACTCTAACTTCTCGCATTTTTATTTCTGCAAACTATAAACTGCTTAGTTGTATGTATAGGATTGTATGGAAAGATGAACTGAAATTAAAACAATAGAAAACCCTAAATATGCAAAGATAATTAACTGAAAAAATACACTTGCACATGCTCACTCCTAGGGTTTACTCCACTCCGATTGCCTTCGATAAACGGTCATGAAGTATAGGGAATGTTAGTGGTTGTCCTCTAGTCTCAAAAGATCTAAAATGACCCAATCGAATGTTGCCTCGGAAAAAGATCTTTAAGGCTTTAGGATGATTACTAAAATTTCCAAACATTACTTTTGTGATTGTATTTGTCCCTTCAAACGTCCCTTAAAACTCCAACGACGATGCTACCTATTCCTTAATAATATGATAGCGCTGTCTAAAGAAAAATGAACAGACTTTTTTCGAGTAGGTAGATTAGTTCCTAAGTACTTGCTCAAATAAAATTTTTCACACAAACACTTTTCAAAAACAGTTTTTCAAAACAACTTCGTCACACTCTTGAGGACTGATACAAGGGTTATCACGAAATAAAACTTTTCAAAACAAGCACATACAAGCAATTTTAAAAGATGAGCAAAGTACCTAAGAGCCCATGGAAAACCATGGATAGAAAGGGTGCTAACACCTTCCCTTTCTATAATCTACCTCCCGTACTCAAAAACATTCTCGAAAAAGGTTTTTTCTGTTCTTTTTCCTTTTCCTTTGTTGGATGAAATAAAAGTCGGTGGCGACTCTTGCTTACCACAACATTTGCGAATACAAAACGCAAACCAGTATAACAGTCGGTTCTGCCATCGTATCATAAAATCCTTATTGAGAAGGCAAACTCACTATGGTGGGTGAATTGGATTAACTCAATTAACAGTGAACTAGTATAAAAATCCTCGAGTATTTTTATCATTATTGAGTTTGGTTTTGGGCATGCAAAAAGTTATCATATTAGAAATCCAATTCAAACCCTATTTCTTGTGTTTCATTGAATCTTTAGCAAGTAGAGCTAATATCTCCACAATGCCACCACAAAGAAGTATTAGTCCTCACCATAAATAAAAGTTCAAATATTATAGGCAAGAACTATCACCATAAAAACAACGTCGTCGGATGTAAGAGCTATTTTGTTGAGAAATTGAACGGTATTGAGTTGAATATCCGAGGAGTTAGGTTTAGGCTTTGATGTTGATATTCCTGATTGTGATGATTTTGGTAGGATGGAGAAGAATTATGAAGAGTTTTATGTTTTTTAGAAACTAAATTGGAGTTTGCAGTCTGAATCAGATACAATTGTTGTTGGTTATATGAATTAGAGGTGATTTAATGAAAGATTATTTTAGATATTAATAGAGAAAAAGTGATGAAAGATTTGTTGAGGGTGATTTGCTACTTAGAAATGTGATGGAGGATTAAGGATGGGCCACTAACTATAACATACTCATTGAATCGGGTTGAGTTAAATGTTTAAGAATGTGCATTAAAGAACTTTGTAATCCTTTATCTATTAAACTAAAACTCAAAGTTGTCACCGATTGGATCTGAAATTCAATTTTTGAATTAAAACATTTAAAATAAAATGAAGAAATTATACCAAAAAGAATAGATAAAGGAGGTAGAAGGTAATAAGTTGAAAGAATATAGGGTAGATCGTAAATTTAGTAAGAAAACAGAAGAAATAGGAACGAAATAGTAGAACTCACTCACACTCAGTCTTATATTTTCCCATCGCCCATAAGCACATAGCATGATACTCCTTCTTCTGTGGCTTCTGTAGCCAGCGTCTAGTTTTCTCCCTCAACTCAAAAAACCACCACTCTAGGGTTTCCCATTTCAGAACGACACCGTTAACCTTCGTCGTTTAACTTCCGACGCTACTGGTTCGCCGTTCATCAATGACGACCGCGCCTTCACCGGTGAAGTCTCAACCGCTTCACAACTTCTCTCTCCCCTTCTTGAAATGGGGCGGCACCGGAAAGAACAACACCAACACCACTAACCACCAACGCTCCCGTCGTCCGCCCGATCACGGTTCTCCCGACCCTGATTCCGAACCTGACTCCCGTCCTCACCGACTCGGATCCCGAACCTCCAGGCACCGATTCGGACTCCCTTCTTCCTCCTCCTCCAAAAATCCTCCGCCGTCTTCCAACCTGGAAACCGACGATGACGCCGGAGGAGATAGTAAGCGGGACGTTGAAGAAGAGGTTACCGTCGCCGGGGAGATAGTGCAGAAGCCGTGGAATTTGAGGCCGAGGAAACCTATGCTTCCGAGAGGAGCTTTCGAGATCGGAACTGGAACTGGAGGTTCCAAAAACAACGGTGGAGAATTGCAAGAAGCGGTTAACGACAGAGAGAATCCGGCGCCGAAATCGCTTCGGCTTCGGGGTTTTGCTGATACGGGATGTGCTGAGAAGAAGGAAAAGAGGAAATTCTGGATCGCTCTTTCGAAGGATGAGATCGAAGAGGATATTTTCGTGATGACTGGTTCTAGGCCCAATCGTAGGCCCAGGAAGAGGCCAAAGAATGTTCAGAAACAAATGGATGTATGATTCTCATAATCTCATTCACCCATTCAGTTTTTCAATCTCTAACAACACGTTCTTCTGATTGATTCTGAAAACTCTTTTTTGTTTGTTTTGATTTTCAGAATGTTTTCCCTGGATTATGGTTAGTGGGTATAACTGCTGATGCTTATAGGGTAGCTGATACACCATCAAAGGTACTATCTTTAACTTCCTCTTTGTGTTTTTGATGATTTTTGTATGTTTTTACCGATTGTTTGATGATTGATTCTTGCAGAGATAGAGAAGCTGCGAAGTGAATTGCACCTTGTAAATGGGGTATGGAACTTGAGGTATAAAGTTGAAGAATTTTGTAAAGAAGGAGATATTGGAAGGAGTGAATTGAAGATGCTAATTCCCTTGCTTTTGTTGGTATTAACAAGGGTTTACTCTAGTTGGTTTTTTACTTGTTCATTGTAGTGCTAGTGGTAGTAGTATATTGCTGGAAGGAAAGAAAGATATATATAAGTATATACAGTTTTAATTAATAGAGTAAGAGTTTATTATTACAATCATAATTTCAGAGCTTTTGCTTGGAATTTAGCTTCTTTTTTTATGGTTGGGAGGATTATAATAATTTTGATGCTTCACTTGGTTTTGGCATTTGACAGGCTTGTAGAAAGCTTGTAGTTAAATATGCAAAGGCTCTTTATACTTCATGCTTCTTGGCTCTGGATGAGGCCTTTGTCTCAAGAACCGCTTCTGAGGTTGAATTAGTTTTTAGACAATGACTGCATCATGTTTTCTGCATTTCATGTGTTTTCATGTTATTTAGTTTTATTGGTTTGTTCCTTTTAACTTTTGCATTGATAATCTCCGTTGTTGTCATCATTAGCTTTGTATGAAGAGAAGAAAAATCTTTGGCATCATTGGAAAGAAACTTCTAAACAGTTTCTAAATTGTTTATTCTGGTTATAATTTGTAACCAAACAATGCAAATGCTTTCTATCTTTTTAAATTAAAGAATTAACTGAGAATAATCGAGTTCTGTGATGTTTGAGAGTCATGTTGGGGCATTTGTTTATTTTGTAATTTTTTTATCTCTTCTTTTGGTTATTTGTTAACTTTGTTTTGACACTTGTTTCAGAAATTTTGCCACCTTCCTTAAAATGCTTTATCCACTTTGTCTTCTTTGAAATGTTTTGTCCACTTTGTTGGGGCAATTGTTCATTTTCCAAAGGAGGAAAGGTCTCTCAAGTCTCAAACCAAGAACCAAGTGTGTTTTTTCTGATTAATAATCTTGCAAGAATTTCAGTGATTTTAATCCACTAATCTGTTTCTGTTTCCTTTTCTCAAACTGCATGTTTGATCACTTTATGTACCAGTTTGCAAACTTTACATTATGAATGGTGATTGATGCCCTGTTATATTGTACTTGGCAACAATCAGCATGAGGTAAAAATAAAAAAGCTAGCTGCAGCACTTGGTCAATTCCAAGTTGCAACAATTGTATATACTTTTGTTTCTTGTTTAGACACAAGAGTCTTAAAGGTTACTTAACTTTCAGGCAATCTTTGAATTTGGCTCAGCAGAATCTCAGTTTTTAATGATAAGCATAGAGTGTTTATTTGCACATAGTAGTTCAATTGTGGTTGGTATGAGGTGTCTTTGTAATGTGTACATTTCTGTTTTCTGCATTTCACGAAAGATATGAAAGATCAAGGTAAGGCATGGAGTTAGATTTGTGTGTACGTGTACTTGGTAGATTAAGTGATTGCCAAGTAACCTTTTTTATATTTTCATTCATCCCACGTGCACTTTCAAATTTCCTTTTCATTAAGGGTGCCCTTTCAGGCTCAGGGTTTTAGTTAAAAATGACTTCATACTACTGCTAGTTGCTGCATTCATCCTTAGACATTACAAGTTATTTTAAAATTTTTGAATCAAATATTTAAAAGAGAAAATTATTTAGATGTATTTGTAACTAAATATATATATTTTAATAGAAAAACCTTAAAACATTCTGTGTTGGGCGAAGCTCTAGTGTCCAATCAGTTTTTGATATTCGAGGAGGCATCTGTGTAGTTTTGTCCTGCTTAAGATAGGACTTAGTCTGAATACTTGTTATTTTTTTTTAATAATAGTACGTGTGTATGAGTTAGGCTGCCAAGTTTGACTGATCAATGGTCAAATCCCCGAAAGTATTCACCATACTTAAAGAGGCCCACACAGTATAGGTGAAAAAGAGAGGACTTATGATTATGATGTAGGCAGTCTTTCACACACTCGGTGTTTTTGTCTAACACAACACCATACCTCCCTTTTACATTGAGCCATCGTCAACGGCAGCTCCCAGTATCACTTTTTCTTTCTCTCTAACTTGTAAAGTTCACATCAACTCATTCTCTTCAATCACCTTGCACATCCCATCTTCACCTTGCATTCAATCACTTATCTCCCTTTCCACTTCACTCCGATTCTGCTGCCAACCTTGTTTACCACTATGATTCTAGTGCTTTCTCGTCATCTTTTAATTTCTTTTATGGTTCATGTGAGATATTGAATCAAACTCTATTGGGTCGAATGATAATTTTTTTGATTTCGAAAGTTTGACAAAGTTGTAGCATGCAGTCGAACGTTGTTCATATGCTAGTGTCGAAGTATTCTATGCTTTAGTTGACGAAGGATCAAGCATGCAGTGATCAAAGAATGCTGGATTGTTAGCATCGAATTGGATTTGTTTGTTATGTTCAATTGTTTAAGTTAGCTTGTACCCTAAGTTAGTCTGTAATGAGTATTTGTGAAAAAACCCATTAGTTTAGTGTGTTAGATTTATTATAAATAGCATATTAGTTCTCATCATTGCATATTGCAAATCTTAATTTAGAGTGAGATGACTATCTGTTATTCTTGTGTACTTGTAATCTTGTTTGAAGAAAAAGTAAAGAATAACAGTTAATAATCAATTTCTTGTGTTATTCTTGTTTTTCCATCTTTTCAATCCTAATTGTTTCTTGATCATTAAGAAACAAATTTATACTTTATTTTGAGGTATCATTTCCACAACAAATTGGTGCGGTGAGCGAAGATGCCTTCAACAAAGTATGAGATTGAAAAGTTCACTGGAGTGAACGATTTCTGTCTATGGCGCTTGAAGATGAAAGCCCTACTGGTTCAGCATGATTGTTTGGAAGCATTGAAGGGAGAGGCAGCCATGAGCGCTACGTTAACGGCAACTGAGAAGACGACGATGATAGAAAAAGCCTAAAACGCAATCTTGTTAAGTCTTGGTGATAAAGTTCTTCGACATGTATCAAAGGAGACGACGACGACAAGGTTATGGGTGAAACTTGAAAGTTTATACATGACCAAATTACTGATAAATTGACTCTACCTGAAACAAGCTTTGTATTCATTCAAGATGATTGAAGACAAAATGTTGACTGAGCAGTTGAATATGTTCAACAAGCTGATTCTTGATCTTGAAAATATTGATGTGAAGATCGATGATGAAGATCAAGCGTTGTTGTTATGCGTTTTCTCCAGAAACATGCTCATTTCAAAGAAACTCTCTTATATGGAAGGGAGTCCCTGACCTTTAAAGAAGTTCAATCAACCTTGTATTCTAAGGATTTGAACGAATGAAATGAGCATAAACCTTCGACAGTTGGTGAAGATTTGGCCGTTAAAGGAAATTTTTTACAAAAGGGTGGTAAGTTCGATAAGAAGAAGAGTAAAAGTCAATCAAAGTTTTATAGTGGTGAGGCGTCTGGTATTCGATGTTATCATTGTGAGAAGGAAGGTCATACAAGAAAAGTGTGTCCTGAACGTCTAAAAGATCATGGAGGAAAGGATAATGGAAACACAACTATTACTTAAGATGATTTTGAGTCATATGGTGTTCTTGTGGTTTCGAGCATCAACCCGTCGAAGGAGTGAATTATGGATTTTGGGTGTACTTGGCACATGACTCCAAACAAAGACTTGTTCGAAGATTTATGTGACCAAGATGGTGGATCTGTATTGTTGGGAAACAACAAAGCTTGCAAGACTGCAGGTGTTGGGTCTGTGAGATTCAAGTTCCATGATGGATCAATAAAGTTGTTGACTGAAGTCATGTATGCACCTGATTTGAAGAGAAATTTGATTTCTCTTGGTGAATTCGACAACAAAGGATATGTTTTCTAAAGAGAGAAAAGTATCCTAAGAGTCATGAAGGGTTCAAAGGAAGTCTTAAGAGGCGTGAAGAAACAAGGCTTGTATACCCTTGAGACTGAAGTTGTAAGTGGTTCGACAAATGTTACATCCACGAAACCTTTGTCGAAGACAGAAATTTGGCACATGAGATTGGACCATGTCAGTGAAAAACGTCTGCTCAAATTAGGGAAACAAAATTTGCTTGGTGGAGACAAAGTCGAAAAGCTAAAATTTTGTAAATCCTGTGTATTTGGAAAATCTTTTAGAGTGAAGTTCAACAAAGGCAAACAAAGAACACATGGATCCATGACTTACATCCATGCTAATCTTTGGAGGTCTGCAAGGTGTCCATCACATTCAGGAGCAAGGCACTTTCTATCCAAAGTAGATGATCATTCCAGAAAGTTATGGATGTTCATCCAGAAGACTAAGGATGAAACTTTTGAAAATTTCAAAAGTTGGAAGACTCTGCTAAAAAATCAAACAGGGAGAAAGGTCAAGAGGTTGAGAACAAAAAATGGTCTTGAATTTTGCAATGAGGCATTTGACAGCTTTTGTGATGCCACTGGTATTGTAAGACACATAACTACTGCAAGTACTCCAAAACAAAATGGTTTGGCTGAAAGATTTAATCGAACTGTTTTAGAGAGTTAGATGCATGTTGACTAGTGTTGGATTTAAGAAGGTATTTTAGGCTGAGGCTGTTTCAACAACAACATATCTGATAAACAGATGTCATTCGACTGCATTAGATATGAAGGCACCTGAAAAAGTTTGGCCGGGACATCCACCAGATCTCAACAAACTGAGAGTTTTTGGTTGTGTAGCCTATGTTTACATTAGGCAAGACAAGGTCGAACCTAGAGCTCTAAAATGCATGTTCATGGGATACCCTGAAGGTACCAAAGCTTATAGGCTATGGTGCCTAGAGCTAGGTCATATGAGGTGTATCACCAGTCGAGATGTAGTTTTCAATGAAGTTGAAATGACTTTCAAGAAAACTGATGATGTTGATCGAAGTGTAGAAATATCTGACGAAGAGCTGGAACAGGTAGAGATTCTTGTTGAGGTGGAGAATGTTGATATTGAATTACGTATTCCAGATGA